TGTTACTGAATACAAATACCTTGGGACAATCATGTACAATAAGCTTACGTTGACTGCCAACACGGATGATATTTTTAGAAAAATTAAGATCTTTTCATGTAAGCGAAAATAGTATATATTTATTCAACCGTTGTTTTGTTGAAAGTATTTCTGCTGTTTCCATTTAATGTTGAAAGGGCTCTCTTAATATCAAAAAGAAATCTTAACTCACCAAAACTGTTTTAATGACGAGTACAATTCCCGGGATTCCGTTTGATCATGTATCCTTCCTTTTTCACACTAGCGTTCTTAATCTTTCGAATAAAATTTTATATGAATTCGCAGTATATTTGTATTTTCTCGGACGGCGATATCTAATGCCACATCTGAGAACAAACGGATCCCCAAAATATTTAATCCCTACCATTATTCGGTTTTAATATGGTTGTTATTGCAATACGTTTTCCTTTAATATTTCATGTTTTATGGTTGTTATCATTGTTGTATTCCTGTGTATTATAGGTATCTCAAAGCGTGTTTTAGTATGTGTTTTTAAATACAATGCACATATCATTTACTTTTGCGATTCTACTTTGTCAGCACAATTTATGAGCCAAATTGAATCAAAACCTGCATTACAATGGACACCAAATTCGTCGTTGGACGAATCACTTAAAAGTCATAACCTTTTGTATCCATCCCTATGAAATGTTCTTCAAGTGAATATTCAATTCTGATCATCTGTGAATAGTTGTGCGTGTTCCGACGTCTCGTCGAAAAAACGATATATTCCTGATTAAAAAGTATTCCGGATCGCTAGCTTGCAAATCAGGATCCACACATAGAATAACGACTTTTATAATATGCTTAAATGTCTTAAAGACGGAGTTTTTTTAAGTTGAGAAAAGTGATATTTATTTATTGCAGTGGACATAACACTTGATATTTTACTGCTGTAAACATAACACTTTAACGGAACTATTGTCATACAAGAGTGACCTCCCCTCAAATTGTCTACCTTTATTGTACGTGTCTCGCCCGTACACAAACTGTTGGCTTTCTTCACGTTAGTTCCACATTGGCAAGGCAAAATAATGACATATGACAATTTATGGAGTTAATATCACTTCAGGGTGTTTGTTATTCTCTTGAAAATGTTTCGTTATACACTGTAAGTTTCTCCCTTAACTCGTCAACCGAGATTGTTCGTTTCGCAAAGCGCCATTTTTGTTACTTGACTAGCGTGTATTCTTTCGTTTCCAACAGCGGTTCGGAAGTTTTCAAGTTGAGTTTTTTGTTATAATTGATTTTGTATATTATCATAATTATGAATATATATGATACAGAATTTTTGTGCCCCTAAATAATGTTTGTATTTTTTTAAGATTTTGCAAACACGAAACTACTATTTTAGTCGCAAATACAAGGGGTGGTGAACCGTCCCTGTGTGTTAGGTAGGGAGAATTTATGTTTTAAGGTGTCACATTTGTAACGAAAAAATAAAATAAATCGAGTGTCGATGACACAACATGATATTTCACTCGACATATAAAATATCTTTTATGACCTTTGACTTGTTTGCATTAAATGTCACAGTATTCAATATTTACTGAATATTACATCTGTATTATTTTCAACTGCAATACCAATGTAACCGGCACACCTCATCTTTTATTTACAGTCCATGCAAACATTTGCTACAATGTCTGCTCATAGTTACAAGTCCCGACTAATGCCGGTTATATAGTGCTAGCCAACGTATACACCATGCCGCAGTTTAATATGGATACGCCATTCAGACACAGCATACTAACTCCGGGCCGACCAGTGCGTGTTTTATCCCCGTAATCCAACATCATTAACAACATATTAAATTAACATCACGGTATAAATGGAAACTATTCATATTCGTCAAAACAAAAGAAAAAGCGTGAAGTGATTATTTCCTCCCATTGGGTCAATAATGGGTGTAAAGTGCACGGTTGTCTAGGCAATCAATGCATTCCACGGTATCATTAAAACCTTTGTACCGCAAGGACTTGGGTTTGAGCTATTCATATCACAATAGTATGTGAAGGCAAAACGCAGGGAATTGTTAAGTATAAACAGCCTCCATGATGAATAGGGGCGGCTAAGTAGCCTATAGTGGTTAAAGCGTTCGCTCGTTACGCCGAAGACCCGGGTTCTATTCCCCACATGGGTACAATGTGTCCCCCGCCATGATATTCCTGGAATATTGCTAAAAGTGGCGTAAAGCTATACTCACTCTCTCACTCCATGATGAATAATATAGCACTGAATGTGTACCTGTGTTTGAGGTGGTACAGTGACTATCATCTCGTCTAGGAACCTAGCATTGCACAGTGGAGTCGTGGTGGATACAGGTAGGCGAGATGCCGGTCAGGTGCCCTTGAATTTCAAAATGGGCAAAATGGAGAGCTACCCCAGACTTGCTATATGTATAATTGTTTTGGTTATCCTTGTCCTCGTATAAGGGAGCAGTACAATAATTCCACGTTGCCTAACATTCTCACTTACTTTTTAATTTTTTTGTTTATTTGTTTATTTATTTTATTTATTTTATTGGTTTGTTTTTGTTTTTGTGCTTGGGAATGGGGGATGGGGTTTAAAATATAAGCAAGTTTCCATCCATCAAAATCAACTTCAGATGTTTATATTTTATTTTTCAAGGCAATAAATAACAACTCTAAAAGTCACATTTATATACAACTAAGAGCTTCATCGTTGTAGATATAAATATGAAATTTCACAAAGATCTTGCCAGTTCAAAATCCTTCTCTGTATACTTATCGATGTGCTTGTATTACATTTATGTAATGGTACTGATATATACTCTGGGGTAAAAGAAAGTATAATTATATACACCCATGTCGGATGATGGCTAAAATGAAACAAACAAGAAATGGTTATTGGACAGTGAAATATTTGATGCGGTATCAGTAATTGTGTTTTGGACCTTTAGTTCGTACCGTTTCTGCGACTGTTTTAGCCTTGTAACGTTTTGATAACGTTTGTTATTAATTTGGCCAAATCCAACTGAAGTGTTTACCTTCTTTTGCTCTAAAGTTTATGTGTAAATGTCATACGGGTTGTCCGCATTTTTCACAATTAAATAGTTTTGGGGCGGACTAGTATGTCGGAAATTTAGCGAAGCCTTTTTAACTGCTTGCATCAGGTTCCGGAAAGTTTATTACATATATTACACTTATTATATACGAAATCTCCAAGAAGCTTACATGTGCTTTTGGTAGCCAAGATATGCTTCTACTTGAATTCATATGCTCGGGACAGGTCTTTGGTGTATTTTTAATAGCTCGCATGTACATGTGCCTCCACTTCGAATAGCTTACGACCCGTGAAGATTCCGGAGTAGAATAGGGCTTCAGCAACCCAAATCTCATTAAAATCAGATCTTAGTTCTCGCTGCCGCTAAACAAAGATCTGAGGACATCCCACGTCAGACCGACATTTCGCAAACTCTGACCGACCAATGGAATTACTGACAAGAAGTCGACATTAGCCAATCAGAAGGCAGCTTTCTCGTGCTTTACGGCACTAATTCCAAATTGGCGACTACGCTTCGAAACATTTTTTGACAATTTCTCGCTTAAAAATTTCAAACCTGAACATAAGAACGTTCTTGAATGGCTAATATATGGTCTAGATTGTATAGATTTAGTCGTTAATCCCGTAACTATCGTTCGGAATACCCCGTTTTAACGTTTTCGAGGCTGCATGATTAGAAATCACATTCCGACTGTCACTTTCATGATCTGGTAAGCGACGCTCTGATTGGTCGGATGAAAGGTCGTTCTGACGTGATCCCTAATGGGATGTCCTCAGATCTTTGTTCAGCGGTAGCGAGAAATAAGATCTGTTTTTAGTGAGATTGTCAGCAACCCATACTTGCCGTAAAAGGCGACTATGCTTGTCGTAAAAGGCGACGTACGAGTCATCGATCCCAATTGCGTGGATCGATGCTCATTATATTAATCACTGGATTGTCTGGTCCAGACTCAATTATTTACAGACCGCCGTCATATAGCTGGAATATTGCTGAGTGCGGCGTTAAACAACAAACCAACCAACCAACCATCAAATAGCTTACATGAAGCTCAGGACATTGCTGACTACCTGTTGGGGCTGCAGTGCATCAGGGGTGCAACGGTCGGTGGAACTAGCGGTGCATCGTAATCATTCATGTCAAACTGTTCACGCATCATAAGATAAAATCCAATATCATTAGATAATATTGATGCTGCGCTGCACAGTCAATAGTATCAAGAGACTTGAATGTTATAAGACACCTTTCTATGGGTTTCATAAAATATACACCAACACGCTATGTGGTGTTCGTAACACAATGGCAAACCTTGTTGTTACACCAGATACAATTAACAAAATACGACACAAATAGTTCGCTGGACATCTTGGATGCTATGAATAATAATGTGTTTTGAGTAAAATGACAGCACCTTCTTTCAGAGAAAAAAGATGTTGTAAGACTTGAAGCGCTGATTGAAACAAAATATTTCCCTAAACAAATCACAGTCTGCCTTTAATTTTAGTAAGATGTTGTTGTTTACCACTCCACACAAAGCACCGAGTCCCCTCTCTCACGACAGTGTGACAGTGCTGGATGACCACTCAGCCTTGTCATCTATTTCTGTTGAGGAATTCTAAAAAGCATCCCTAGTATTGTGAATGCATTCGGTAGAAAACTGCTGTGATTTGTTTGGAACCCTTGAATGCTTGATATCTCCATTGATTTTAGAGGACAGTCTTATATTGTCCGTACGACTGATTAAAAGCAAACTAATCTCTTCATCTGAAATTGCCATGTTGCTGTATCCAATAATCAATCTACTTACATAATGGACTAATTTAGCCAATGTACGGATTAGGTCCAACTGAATGTAGCTATTTTCGTGCTAAATAACAAGTTCAATAATAAGAACAGCTCAGGGAAGTGAAACTGACATCTTGTTCTGTCATTTCAGGCTGCATGATGTATTTCCGACTGAAGCCGAATGAGACCCTCTCCGACCTGAGCCAAAGGTGGAACATGGACACGCTGTATCGTCCCCTCACGGGGGAGATGGTCTCCCTCATTGTTATTCTCTCCGTCTTCACCATTGTTGGCTCCGTCGGCAACGGCCTCGTTATATTCGTGTTTCAGAAAATCCGTGAAAAGACCACGGCTCACGTGTTCATCATTACGCTTGCTGTTATTGACCTGTTCGCATGCATGGTAATAATCCCATTTACGATTGTCGTGGAATACCTTCGTTACGACATCCGGTACGACTTCCTGTGCAAACTGTACCAGTTCTTGATCACGTCGGAGATCCCACTTTCGGCATTCATAATGGTGGCAATAGCGTTCGACCGTTACTTCTGCATCTGTCATCCGCTGAAGACGATTCTTACTCCAAAGAGAACCAAAATTGTAATCGGCTGTTTGACCTTGTTTGCCTGTACGCTTGGGATTGTTACAGCTTTAGCGTTCGGCGTCTATCAACGCATCGTGATACCAGACTACAGTTCCCCAGACTTGGATGAGAACTCAACCATACCATCCATAACGGAACCCAGAATATTCAGCATGCGACCAATGGCTGACGAGTCCCCGAAAGAAAATGACATCAACAAGCTTCTGATGAGTCGAGTGTTTCAATACATGTCTGTGCACAATATAACCCGGAGGGCTGTGATAAGGGAAAGTGGCTTCCGAGGACCGTACACGACCATGAACATGTATATCGGCATTTGTCAGCCAACGCAGGAAATCCTCAGTTTTGGTTTTGTGAACATCTACCAAAAGGTGTACTCCTCTTTGTACCTCTTCTGCTTGGTTATCGTCGGCGTCCTGTACGGCATGATCTACAAGTTCATCACGTCACGTCGGTCGAGGAAGTTGCAGCAGAAGTTGACAATGTGCACGTACATCAACGGAGAGAATGGATACGAAGCTACGCGCCTTACTCTTCTAAATGGGCACGATGAGGAAAAACAAAATGGGGACAACGAACAGATGACAAAGGATCGTGGTCGAAACGCTTCCGGGAACAGGAATTCGGGGAGGCATTATGAAGCAGAAAGGTTACGTGAGGAAACAAGAGCGGCGAATATCAAAACAGCTTTAATGTTGTTTGCAGTAACAGTCGTGTTTATCGTTGCTTTCCTGCCAGCCTGGTTGATGACGTACCGTATTGTTCCTACCGTCATCGTTGTTTTTTATTCTTATTTTGTGTACAACGTTGCCAATCCTTTCATTTATGCCTTCATGAATCACATTTTCAAAGATAACATTCATAAAATATTTAGTTGTTAACATTCATCTCCAAGCAATAAACCAGCAGCGAAGTTGGTGTCCTTGACCTTTCTGTGCGTGGTGATCTTAACCTACATGTGCGTGGTGACCAAGGATCCAAGCTTACAGAACACACTGACAACACTCAGCATCTTTCTGTGTGAATGAGAGAACAATGAAACAAGATCTTCAAGATTTAGTGGGACACTGACAATGAAACACATTTTACAGCCTTGCATTCAAACCCTTGGTTTAATTGTTACGGAGTGTCAACCATGTGGCTACCGTCATCCTACCCTCAATGTCGAAGGTCGTGTTTACTAGAATCGGATCACTAGTGATAGTGTATGAAACTGGTAACTTGATATCATAGTGTGATTATGGAATTTGTCGATTGTAAATACCCAAAGAGTGGGAGAACGTGTGCGCAAAGCATTTGATTTGTCAGTGGTAATTGAAACTGTATTGACTTGTGAATTGAAATTAACTTGTGGCGGAAATAGCTATGTGAATTGAATAATGGACAATGGATTGCATCAAATATCTACTTCGCAGTGAGGATGTGAATTATTGTTTAGAGCCTGGTAGGACATGAACTATATTCAAAGAATTGAATTGAAACAAATGAATACATGTCCTGGCGAATACAGGTGTGACATATGAATGTTCAAAAAAAACATCGGCATCTCGAAGAGAAGATAACAAATTTAATGAGCGTTTAAGATATTCGCAGCCTCGTATGTGGAAATGACGAGCAAGGCTTTTCTCTACACAGCTCCAAAGGAGTTGACAAATGTTTTGATTTGCACAGGACAGATAAACCTGTTTTGTCATCAAGAATGGTCATACAAGTACACTAACGAATGCAACAACGGGTCAAACAGATCGAGAACAGATGTGCGATTATATGTTTAGACAATTGTATACCCTTTATTCCAAGCTGGTCATCCATCCCACCGGAACTACTTTACAGCAGACATCATCTGGCATGATATTCAAGAGCCGATTCTGTTTTGTAAATTGCACAGTGACACTGGCTTATGTTACAAAGCTGATCTAACATTGTGCTGAAGAGCTTTAGATTTGATGAAACGGTATCTGAGCGCTCCGCCTTGGCCTATTACAACTGTACGCATGTATTCAACCACATTCAGCATCGCCGAGATGACCATGGTCGATCAAAGGTTAATTTTACTTAATCCACGTGGTTGTCATTACCTGTAAAACTCATTCCCTTCTCTATGCGGCAGCTGTGACGTCCCCCAGAGGGGCTGTGCTATAGGATGACGTTTTTCTCCAAAGACGATGGATGCGAGGATTTTGCGGGTAAACAGGATGCTGTAAAATTTGACGGTGTATTATATGTCAATGCATGCATTAGATGAATATTAACTTGGTGGAGAAGAGTGTTTCAGTGCATGCATTGATGATTATTACCTTGACGGTGCAATCTATGACAATGCATGTATGATGAATACTTCCTTGTCGCAGCAGTGTGTTGAATGACGACCTACAGAAATATCTCTGTGTTCATCACAGTTTAAACGCTGACAGCCTGGTTCACGTGCCGATCACATATTGACCTTACTGATGCAATACTCCCACTTGCCGCACCAGATTCACCACGTCTCCAGTTCACATGTCTCAAACAAAACTTTTTTTTCATATACAGCTATACACTAATTAGATGTTCATTTATAGGCAAAAGTGATACATGCATCATCATAAGACGTTATATCACCTGAATTGTTTGGTATTTGGTGGATGGTTGTTTGAACATCGTTTTGTGCTGTGTGACTTACTTCAAATGCATATAGTATGTTCTAGTCTTAGACAGACTCAATTGTCATAAAGTGAAGCGTATCATATATTTTATATTAGTATACGTTTTCGTACCCCATTACTATGTCACCAGTTCTATGAGCTTAACATTAGTGGGGATTGAAGTGTGCTCTATGTCCTTACAGTTGACTTATGCAGTACACTTTGAACCCATGTGTGTATCCCCTGGCATCATTTGTGTAAATAGGAATGTGTAACGCCTGTACCGTGATAGTATTGTCGTATATATCAGAAAGTATTCCTGTAAATATATTACCTTTGAAGTCCTATTGCCTTTTAATTACTGACAAATATACGTGCATATGACGTGTTAAAACAGCTGTTAATGTTCCATAGACGTTTGATCATAACTCATTATATAACTGAATGTGTCATCATAAATACTTTTTTATGTTAAAATACATGTGTTACCTAGTATCTATCAACAGGTAATGGGATAATATCATTTTATTTTTTTCAGTTTGTGTTCGTTAAAACATCAATTCATTTGAGAAACAACATTATGTTTACCCAAATTCAACAAAGTCTACATGTACACTGCTGATCAAAGAAAGTATACGCTCATGTATTGCTTTTCTGGTTCTTGGAATTGTTTTGTTCATTTGCACAGTGTGATTCACGTGACGTACAAAATAGGAGATGCGTTTAATTTTAAAAGTGTAAATACTAGTACATTTACCGATAAATATTCGTGGTTTTCAGTTGGAAGGTTTTCATTCGTGTAGTCACGTTTTAAAGAATATCTGGTGAATGTCACGTACCATTGTATTTCAGTTTGTGTTCTGTAGATTTGATGGTGGTATCTCAACATACGAAACATTCAAAATGCAAACTTGTACCATATGTATGTTGTTGATTTGTTCGTATATCATGTTTTGAAATTGATAACCAGTTTGCCTGATGTGACGCGAAATGACAGTCATGTATTCAGACTGACCCCTACTTGAAGTACATGACTGGACTTTTGTGGCTATACATACTGGACGGGCTATGTCAGTATTGTTGTTGTATATAGCTGTACATAATCCATGTTTGGGGCAGGTAAGCAATATAGCATGGCCCTTATTTGGAATGGTGTATGATGACACCTCTGTGTATTAAACAATGTATCCTGGTGTTAAATACGTTTTTGTTGGTTATCACCATATTTGATGAAATGTGGTTTAACGTTTAGATTGCACTTATATAGCGACGTGCATGCATGTATGTGTGTGTGTGTGTGTGTGTGTGTGTGTGTGTGTGTGTGTGTGGCTGCTCGTACTAGTCCGGATTGATGCGATTTATAGTGCCAGCCGATACCATGCCGCAGTTTAACATGAATACCCCACTCAGACACAGTATACGGACTCCAAGCCGACCAGTCCTTGTTTTAGCCCCTTAAAGCCGAGCGCCAGACAGGGTAACAACAAGTACCATCTTTTAACGTCTTTAGGTATTACGGGCTAGGGTGTAGTATAATGATGTTTTAAATTTGATCTGTTTTGTTTTATCCTAAACTGTGATATTTGCCCTATCATTTTGACAGATATTTAGTAATGATAAACTTGTTCTCATCGCGATTCGGATGAAATATTGCCGATTTCAACAAACTCACTCGTTAATATTTTCAATTTCTATATTTTCAAACTGATTTAAAACAGGAAATATTTAAGGTGGCCTGAAGTAAGAATAGGCGATCTCGTAGATAATATACAGACACGTTATTCTAACTGAATTTGGTGTCAGTTAAAATACTGTTCACTGCTTTTCAGTAATTCTGTCTTCAGTTGTCTCTCTCATCATTTGATAATGTGTGTTTATTGTTTTGATGCCTACCAAATTAGGACAGATGTAGAATAGTGAATGAATGAGTTGGTATTGTTCCAATGGAACGCCGCTGTTCCAATATTCCAGCAGGTGGAACACCAGAAATGGGTTTCACAAATTGTACCTATGTGGGGAATCAAACCCGGGTCTTCGGCGTAACAAACAAACGCGTAAACCACTAGGATACCACCCCCACGTATAGTAGAATATGCCAGTAGCTGTTAATGGTCATACGAGGGACCGGAGGAAGATATCGATTGTATCATTGAGTGTCGCCCCTATCATACTCATGATCGCTATCGCTGTAACACATTGCAAAATGAGAGTTGTGAGTGTTTGAACAGAATTGTAATTATATCCCGGCGTGTCAGATAATGTTGAAGGACTGCATCGCAGAGTGACGCAGTCGTAGCAACTTGACACCTTGTTTAAATCAATGGGTTCGAGTTTGGTACTAAACAAGCAGGGATCATCATCGGGGCGAATGTGGGGTTCGAACCTGATTGGATCATGACACCTATGTAGTCATTGTGAATCGTTGAAAGGGGTTTACTCCGCGTTGACGGCCTCGTTACTCGTATTGCGTATCTATTCTGGGAATCGAACGTTTCCACTTGCGGGAATAGAAAAAATGCCCTTCATGAACAAAAATATAAAATTTTAATGAAAGTCTGGCCCGGCGAAAAACACCCATCGGTACACCTGGATGTCCCTTTCTCTTGTTGACAACGGCATGGAAGTGGCTACATATATCGAGTTCTCCAGTGCTTTTAGACTCGCAAACGCCTTTCAAGAGGGTGACTTCTTCATTTTTCAAGTACATTCGAATTGTCAATCGGTCATGTTTAATATATGTGTCAGAGAGTTATTGACCATCCAATACAAGGATAACAACGTACTGTATTAAGCTATAGCTAGATTCCCTACCAAACGTCGAGCAGAACTTCGGGTGAAGATATTCTATTCAGCAGTTTGACGTTCTACAGAAATAAAGGTTTCTAAAGCGATCACACCTACACAATCACACCGCGAAGATGAGGCAGAAGTATAAATAGTTGTAGAAGTAGTTGTAGATACTAAGGTTACGTTTGCCACAGACCATATATTGTCACCCAAAGATGAAGTAAAGATTTAGTATGATTAATCCCCTCTCGAAATTGATTTCCTTGGGATTAATGTCTACCTAGACAGTGTTCCTACGATTGTCTGCCTCAGCACAACACGATATGAATAGTCATAGATGCTAATGATATTAAGCGTCAGCTCAAGAGATTAACCATTCTCGATTATCCGACGAAACATTGGGCGTAAAAGGCAAAATAGCGGTCAAAATGACATGAACGAATCACTGAAATCAGTGATGACACTGGGTGTTCGCGAAAAGGTTTACTTCGATTGTTGTATATTAAAATATGATGTAGTTTGCTTATAATAAAATCTTCTCAATGTTAACGATTCCAATAACTGTGCCGATAAAAAGATTTTATGTTACCGTCGCCGCAATGTTGCATGGTCTACAAAGATATTGAAAGTTGTGCAATGAGGGAGCACGAAAGTACAGTGCTGGAGAGACACTGAAACTAACAATATAGCGCTAATACGTCACGCCGTATTTCTCATGATCGGGAGAAACATGTGCTGCATTTTCAGCTTAATGAGTGAGTGAGTGAATATGATTTAACGCCGCTTTCCAGCAATATCACGGCGGGGGACACCAGAAATGGGCTTCACACATTGTACCATTGTCGGGAATCGAACCCGGGTCTTCGGCATGACGAGCGAACGCTTTAACCACTAGGCTACCCGACCGCCTATTTTCAGCTTAGAGTTATGATATAGCGGCGATAAACTGTAAACAAAAAGCAGCGCGCGGTTTCGATCGTAAAAGGACAAGGGAGTTGTGAAAAGGCCCGCGTGTGGGTCGCAGATCTGTTTAATTGAAACGATAAGGAAAACATTTAGAAATTGTTTGGAAAGTTTTCAGATGTATCCGTATCGAGGAGAGCAAGAGTTTGTTCATTTCAACACTTGGATGTTTAGACAACACTAAATTTTCAGATAAGGCTAAAAAGTATTGAAAAGGTTGATTTTGGTGTTTTCAGAAAGAATTGTTTAAATATATTGACCCGAGAAAATGTTATTGGGGGATGTAGATAACAACGGAACAAGCATAAAGCATCTTGGTAACTGAAGCATCTCGAGTCACAAAGTTATGTTTTCTCTTGAAGTTGGATTTATCGGCCTTTCTCACCCATTTAATTACACACAGAACGT